AGCTTTAGTCGCAAGGATCTTGAGGGCACTGCGAAACCGCGAAACTAAACTATGTTAGCTTAGCTCACGTAACTGCATGCAACCAACTAAGTGACCTTAGCTCGGTTAGCCTTTGTTAGTTCGCAGAGTGATTAGACGTATGAAAACATACCGCGGCTACGTGAGCTAAAGCTGATTTAGCTTACCTCGCGGTGTGGCCAAAGTTTCAGACTTAAAGTTAACAAGTCCTAGGTGTCTGTAGTTTCACTTGCTCCTTTACTATTCAAAACCGGAACGCAATAATACTCACATTACTGCTAGGTAGGTTTTTCCGGGGTAAAATCCGTCATGAATGCCACCGAGTCTTGGGCAGGCGCGGTGGTTATGTGAGAGTCTTACTCACTAAAAACCGCCGGTATTCCCACACCCCGCACGGGACCGGGCTGTGGTTTACGATCCACGGTCATGTCTGCGGTTGTCCGCCACCACGGACCTGCTCTGGGGAGATCAGCATTCCCCCCTCTATCGTTAGAGGCATGCCGGGAATACTTGGCACGCCAACCAACCCTAGAATCCGTATCCAATGGGTGACAAAAGCCCCCGTTTTTACCACCCAGGGTGGCAATACCTCCCTGGACGAAATCTTTTACAAGGAGATCTACTGGTTTACTGTCGGTTTAGAGTATATAAGGAAGACCTCTAGTACAGATAGTTATTCAAAATAAAACTATTTTGAGATGTTTTATAAATACTTTGTATCTTACGTGCTTGCGGATCCTAAGAGTGTGCGTAATTTATTTATTTATACTATGTTGTGTTGAAATTGTAAATTCGTCCATTAGTGTTGAAAAGGATGCCAACAGCCCACCTATTTCCTATCACTAACCCTAAAAATTTCCTTTAAAAGTTATTTATGGTATTCGTTTACACACTTTGCAAATAAACAAGCATGTTAAGTGGTTGCCTACCTAAAAATATTGTAAGTTTTCTTTCAGTAAAAACAGCTTTGAAGGGATTATAAAGCCTAAATTTGCAATGAATTCACATTCAGTCCTACTGCTTAAGTACTTATGTACATTATTAAGTAAAATGAAGTACCACAGTAATAAAGCAACTGATAATGTTTTCAATACTAGGTCAGAAGTAGTAAACTATCCATTCGTTATAAAATCGTTATGCGCAACACTGTAATATATTCATTAACTTATAGTAACGAGTTGACCATTACTATGACTACTAAAAACATACTTGTCATATATTATGCAGGTTCCGTAGCAATAATTTACAGTTCAGGGGCTCTGTCAATTGCCAATTATGTACAGTTTATTGCATAGGACTCAGCAACAAAAAAATAAAAAAAAGTACAAAGTCGACATTGGCCGATAAAGAAACGTTTTTACAGCTGGCTTATAAATTGTAAACAAATGAGAATATAATAATAGCTAATTCCTGAATTGTAATGCTGTATATGACTCATTGTAGGGATAAAATAAAAAAGATTAAAAAGACAGAGCATGTGATTAGTAAGTAACATTGTTGGTACGCACAAGGTAAATAAAAAAAAAAATGATTTATTACGGTTTGTATTACAGTCATACACAGCTAAATCATATTATTAAAAAAATACTACTGCAATAAACCTATTTAGTATATATTTTTTACTGTTGATGTAAAGCTATCACAAACATATATAAAGGATCATCGAATTTCTTACAACAATACTGAAACACTGTCGAAATTTGCAATAGGTAATTTCGAATGTTTATGACATTAAATTATCATAAGGTCTTTAACAATTTTGTTACGGAACCCTAGAAAGTCAGCTATAAACAATTACTCGCATAGCGTGTCGGCGTTCGGTTTAATTGCCAAATTTATTAATGAGAAGCAGTTTTATACAAATGGCGCATTGTTATCACCGGCGGATTCAAAGGAGGCTGTATGATGTAAGCCATTAGGTTGGCCATTAATTATTTTAACCGACATTTAGACGCTCTTACGTAATTGGCTTTCGCTATAAAATAATGTGACTATTGTAAACCTGTGATCGGACCTTTGTGGGACGTAACAAATAGCTTAGCTGACAATCCGGCGATTAATTGTTCCGAACTATATCCATTGACATAATGCAATCATTTATCTATAATTACGATAATCGAGGCCCGGAAATATAATTGGTTTATAAGACTGTCTGCATAATAAGACTAAGGTCGTCGACATAGCTGGTAGAATAAGCAAGCTGAAGTGGCAGTGGGCTGGCCATATTTGTCGAAGAACCGATAACCGTTGGGGGACGCGAGTTCTTGAGTGGCGACCACGGCTCGGCAAACGTAGTGCAGGACGCCCTCTGGCCAGATGGAGCGTTTGGTAAACTACGTCGGGTCTTCTCGTCACGCATACCGCTAAGTTTGAAAACAAAGGTTTTCAATCAGTGCATTCTACCTGTTATGACATACGGAGCAGAGACGTGGACACTCACGATACGGTTCGATCAACATTTGAAAGACGACGAACGAAAAACGAGCTATGCTCGGAGTTTCTGGCAGCAGATGGATGCAACGAGAGGCCTATGTCCAGCAGCGGACTACGCTAGGCTGTTGATGATTTTTTGTTGTTATATAAGATACTGTTAAAATGACTTTAGAGTCAAACGGCTTTGCTTATGTTGCAGGGCATTAGGGGTCGCCGAGCGAAGTAAACAGGCTTGTGCTTCCCAATATAATTTTATAATTGCACCATTTTGCACCCGAATTTCCGATCCTGGAGATAAAATAACTGCAAATATTCCACATTGGTCGCGTGCATACCTACTAGAGGGTGTCAGAGTTTTGATTGCACCCGGCTGCTACATGGACAAGCGTAGGTGCTGGATGCAAGGACCTACTGTGACGATGCGATCTCTTTCATCATCATCTCACCTTTTTATCACCCTTTTCTCCGGTTCCTGGCCACTTTTGAAATTTTGAATCGTTCTCTAATTCTTTTTTTTCGTCATTCTTACTCTGCTTCATTACGTCGTCACTCCCATCAGAATTCTCGAAGAAAAAGGACGTATCAGTCGTAAAAACCGCAATCATGTAAACCTTATGAAACATTAACTGCTTATAAAGCATCAATATTTGTCCGAATACAGGCCCGTTTGGGGTAAGTTCACCTTGTTACGTTTGATCTGTTGGGAATGTTTTTATATTATTGTACCTGTTTTGTACCATTGTTTGTTGTTACAGCTTTTTCCTTACTTTGTTCTTTCTGCCTTTTTACAATAAAATTATATCGATCGTGCGTTACTCTTATTACTACGCAAGACCCGCGCGACACTGGCGCCCAAACAGGGACGTCTTCCTTTTATGTAAGTATTCCATATTGATCGTGTGCCTGCTAGAGAGCGTCAGGGTATTGATTGCATCCGGCCGCTACATGACCAAGCGCCGGTGCTGGATGCAAGGACCTACATTCGCAGAAAAGTATGTATAAGAGGGCCCATGAATATGCTATAGGAAATATTTTTTCTACGGAAGTCTTTCTCTAGGCAAAATTCTTAATCGCAAGAGCACTGTCGTGGTTTCTACGCGTTTGTGACCTAAATAAGTGGCTGGTGTATTTAGGAGCCATACAAAAGCTCTTTAATGAAGAAATTTAAGTCATTTACAAAATGGGGACATTTTTTCTTCATGAAGAGGTTTTATAAATCACACATAGTCCCATGTGTCTGTAATTTCACCAGCACCCTTACCCTATATTACTGCTTAGCGGCAGAAATAGGTAAGGTGGCAGTACTTCCGTGGTCGTTAGATGTAGAGATTGCGAATTGGTATATACGCAAGGCCACTTTCGTGAGAAATGCTATTTAAAATGGCATTCTAATTGTAAGGTAGGTACAACTTATCAACGATTGTAAAAAAAGCAAGTGTTTTACTACCTTGCTAGTACCTTGTATTTTTTTAAATTTTAAATCTAAACTTCCTTTCATCAATTAATTTGTTTAAATGTAATGATTATTTTCATTATTCACGGTCATCGGTGTAACGACTCGTACTACTTAACTCTTGTTTACACCTTCACCTATGGGTTATTTTTGTACAATAACGGACTCTTGTGTCACTCTACCTTACTTATTACTTTAATAAATTGTATCATAATAAATTCCAAATTAAAGATTATATACAATAAACTAAAAAGCTTAAATATATAATAAAAAAATAATAATTTTGAAATTATTAGCAAACGACGACTCGAGCATATCTACGTCATTTACAAAACAAGTATTTTATAAAACAGGTTAAAATTCTTTGTCAAAAGTTTATTTTGAACTGACATCACTCGAACTTGACTGTCATGTCCACATTGATATCACAGTTTATTTTTGTAATTTTTTAAAATTGTTAGCGCATATACTCCGTCCAACCATTTATTTAACTTTTGACAGCTCGAATTCTCAATCAATTAGTTATGGCCTAATGTGTTTCCGATTCGATTTTTTATAACAATCGATTTTATTTATGAAGAAGCTTTAATCGTGAATGTGAGCGGGTTCCAAAAAAAAGATATTGTCTGATTGGGATCGTGTTGTTGCGTGTGACAATTTGTGTGCTCAAGAATTAATAATTAATGTTAATGACGATTCAAGTGATGATTCCCGTTCATATGGAGAAGAATCCGACAATTCATTATAATAAACAATAACAATTTATTATAATTGTTTATAATTTATTTCATTTCATTATAATTTATTAGATAGGTACCAAATTTTATCGACTTGAATAATCTTCGTTACATAATAAATATCTAGGCAACAGATTATATTTATCCGAGCTAAAGATCTCGTCTCTTCACTAAAATTAAAAAATAAAAGAGTTCAGAAAGTATTGCATTTTTTTGTCTATACTTGTATATCAATAATTACGGAACTGCGAAGACATGCTTATATAAAAAGTTATATATAAATGGTTGGACGGAGTATAGATATAGTTGTCCAATGATAAGTTAGAGACATGGGTTCAATTTACAATATAATACGAAATTGTAAGAGCACAGAGAAATAATCAAGTTCATTAATTATTCATTAAAAGAAAATTATTATTAATATGCACCGAAAGAAACTTTCATTAAATTTCAGTTATGGAGCCACCGGTTTCTTGTTCGTAGGTAGGTACTATATAGATCGCACCAGTCTATGTATTTTCTTGCGCCTATATCTAACGGCCAAGTAAATACATGAAGGTTCATTGTTAAGTTTTTCTTTGTAAATATGATTTATAGTCGCTTTGTTGTTCAGAATCTCGTGCATGACAAGCCATTATCAGAGTTCCTCAAAGATTTATGTCATTTTTGGGAGTCGACCCAGATTCTCTACCATTTTATTCGCTGTAGTATGTGATCGTACCGGCAAAATTTTGAAATATTAGCATTATGTTTAAGGTCCCGACGAGCTGGGAGGCCTTGGCCTTTTGTAGCTTTGACTTTCGCCGTAAAGTAACTCATTTATTTTAAACATCATTATGTCTCTGCGATCTTCAGGAAGTTTACGCAGTTTTATCGCTACAAGTTTCCCGAATATATTACATTCATCATACTCGTCATTACGATTCTGGAAAACAGTTTCTAAGATTTTCAATGTCTGATCCATTTGATTCTTCACCCGCTGAAGTTCATCTGAATTGTCTTGATTATCTTTGTGTATCGTGGACGTTGGCGTTTGTTGCGAGGATATATATTCATTGCGTGATGTTTCACCAGTATTTGTGACATCTGTATCTGAGACTTCTATCTTAATTTGATGGTTATTTTGTTCGCCCTAAAAAAGCAAAAACATTAGTGTCTTATTGTGGCATTTCATATGGCTATAGTACTTGCTATATTTGGCAAAAAAGCGTCATGTGTAGATAGTATGTTTGATAAAGCATTTGCCTTATTTGCCTACTCGACAAATACACCAAATACGCGGTATCGTAACCTCGTCCGTTTCTTGACAAAAGTCATAAAGATGTCAAACAGGTAAATATGCAAGTAAACCGTCCACATAATGGCCATATTCTTATTTCAAAAGTGCCGCTTTTAGACGGAACTAGTCCTTAGAGCGACGTCTCACGGGCGCTGCTCGTGCGTTGCGTCGTCGCAACGCTGATTGCAACGCACCGAGTGCCATACGAGCCAGACATGTGTCGATCGTGTTGGATCGAATCAAAATGGTATCGGGTAACAGGTGTTGATAATGATCCGATCATTTTAAAGTTTCGATCATTTTTGTTTGATCAACGCGAGTCATGCTTCGCTCACGTGAACCGTGTTACATCGCCTCGCGCCATTTCATCGCACCATGTGGCTTGTAGTTCTAATTTCAATAGGGTTATTTGTAAAATGCTAACAACCTCGTAGGACCATAATGTTCCATGACTTTTAACAAAACATAATAAATTTACCAAACATAAACTTAAGTACTATTTTGGTAGTAATAAGTTGAAGCGTCCAAGTCCTGACGACTCCCACCCCCGTTCTGCGTTTTGCATCGGACTGGTATTTATCAATATGAAACAAAACAAGGTGCTAGCGTAAAGTTGAAACTGTTGTCACCGCACATAGTTATCACTGTTTAGAGCGATCTATCTGAATATTTACATTTATGTACGAAAGTAAATTCCGATGAATTATTAAAAGTCATCAAAAATTGTTGACTATGATGTTAGTAAAATAGCCATGCGAGGGTCTAAGCATTTTATAAATAACCCTGTATATGTAAAGTACAAGACAGCGTCGCCCATGGGCGTTGTCACAACGCCCGCCGCCGTCGCCGCCGACGCAACGTTGCATGTGGCATCGCTCTTTTTTTTTCTCTTCTTTTGTGACGGGGCAATATTCCTCGACGTATAAATGTAAGTTTAGCCGTAAGTATTTAATAATAATAAGTAGTGAATTAACAAAATACTATGTTTTGTTTACCAACCTGATTATTTCGAACTCCATTGTATTGATAAATAGTGTTCAAAAATCCATCCATAAACTTGTAAGCGAACCATGTCGGACGATAAACAGCTCCTAATTTCTCCGATTTCTTGATTTTACATTTGTAACCCCTGTACGCTGACATCAAAGATTCTCTTTTCTTTTTGAGTTCTTTTACAGTACATGGAATTCCCATGTTGTTTTTTATATCGATCCACGCGTCGTTAACACGATTTCTTTTATTATGAAAAGGATGTTTAGGGTCCCAAATACATGTATGCGCTTTATATTGGGCCAAGAATTGTAGAACCGTTTCGTTTGACCATTCCATTTTTTAGATATGAAATATCTCAACACGTCTTTCAAGTTCGAGTGCGACCACGTTACTGAACGCCGTCGTTGGGTTCGTGGCGTGGAGGGCACCTTATTTGTCGTGTAGCGTATTTGCCTTATACAAATATGTGTAGTCAAGTCAAATAGGTCTCGTATGTATAGGAACTATTTGCTGTTTACTTCATTTTTATTTTTAAGATATCGCCTTATTCAGTTATACAAAAGTTCACACTCATAGCAAACAACATTATTAAATTACCTATACTTAAAGTTACTAACTGTTTATATTTATTTTATTTAATAATTTTTTGTACAGGAAAGCCACAAATCACATTTAGTAAAACGGAAAACACAAACAAAAGGTATTACTTATTTCTAAAAAAAAATTCTTCCTACAGACAAAAATACAAGACAAAATAATTACAATAACGGGTTTATGTGCACAACAAAACAAAATTAAATTATGTAATAAAATAATAATAAAAAAAATATCAAAAATTTTAAATTACTACAGACTATAAAATGGATGGAATTAACCGTGGATAAATAGTGCTCCTTGACTATCATTTTAAAGATAGCTAAGGATTTACTATTATGAACAGTAATGGGAAGTGGATTCCAAAGTCTGACTGCATGAGCAGGCAGTGAATTTATTTGTAGATAATATTTTTATTTCGCCTACTACTAGTACTAGTCGTATTAACAAGTTGTGGTCGATTATTCACCCAAATAAGGCAAATGCTTGTCCAAATAGCAAAGTGTCAACCAATTAATAATAAGTTAGTAACACTTTAGCCACACACCAAGTATTTTTGTATACTGCAAGAACGCTATACATATAGGTATATGACATAAAGTGTTATTTAAAAGTGAAAGAAAAAATATTCAATTGGTCTCATTTTCTTATGACAAATGTAAAGTAAACCTTATTATCAATCGTTGATATCCACAATGGTCTTTACTCAGCATTTATCGGGTTGTAACATGGATAACAACCCGATGCTGATTTTCTGTGGTGACCGGGGAATTGAACGGACTCCACCGACAATCAACAACATAATAATAATATTATTTAAATGTAAAATTATAATAATAAATAGCTCCTTATGTTTAGTAAGTTATAAAATTTCTAATCTAAAATAAATAAATAATATCAAATATGTAATTGTTACTAGAACTTTTTCATATTACAAAATGTACGTGCCCAAAGTCTCAATTATCACATATCTCTTTGCCTACCTAATAAATACAGTTTCAAAATGTGCCAACGATGGTATAGTCAGTGTTGCCAGTTTCTACTGATTTATCAGTAGATCTACTGTTTTAGGCCGACGTCAACTGTTCTACTGATAAATAAACGAAAATCATTCATGTATGGCAGAAATCTGTTTAAGTAAAGATTAAAACAGGACATATTTCTAAAAAAAACAGTAGTTTTTCGTTAATTATCAGTAGAACATTAGACGTCGGCGCATAAACAGTAGACTACTGATAAATCAGTAAGACCTGCCAACACTGAGTATAGTTTCTAATTGAAGGAGGAATATTGCTCTAACATTTGATAAACAATGTAGAATTTTTGTGTGTCCCAATTTACTTACTAAGTTGAACAACAACATACATAAAACTTACTAAGATTGAATTACATAAAGAAACAAAAAGTTCTTTGAACCGCATGACTCGTTTAAATATGCAATTTAAGTACATGTTACTACAATAGGTGTTACTAAAATTACAAACTCGTAACATAACATTGTGCAAAGCTCACAATCATAATATAATTATTATGCACTACGCATTCGCAATTTTCCGAGAGGTATAAAATTTGCACATTTCAAGGGTTCATGCTATCTAGAGAATATGTGTAACATTATGGCGATAGTGTTCAAACTAAATTTTGTATGGCCTAATTGCTAAATTTCGTCTGATGCTCAGCATTTCAATATCTTTTCCAGTGCCGCTCTTATTTATGTCACTGGGAACTGCAAACATCGCATATTTTGTTATAAATACATAAACATATAATGAAATTAAATAGAATTCGCATTAAATATTTCAAATTTATAATAAAAATATGACGAGATGATTACGATACGTTGAATATACGTTTTTGATAAAGAAATGATGCGCCTGTTACATTTTTAATAGCAATAATATAAGACAGTTTTATTGCTAGTAATTTCAGCGTTTAGGAGTTGGTACATTTCCTCATGGAGGCAAAGAAAGCTGAAGTTCGTTGCTTTTGCTCTTACAAAAGCTAAAAATAAATATTATTCGAATCTACGCAACAGCATGTAATAATTAAAACTTCAATTATGCACTAATTGTTACTTTGTTTCAGTCACTTCAAAAATTGATAATTTGATACCGTATTAAATAAATCGGTAAGGTATTATTATGAAACTAACAAACGTTGAAGTTGAAGGTTTGTGTATTCGTGACGCGCCAGCGCCGGCTGCAAGTTATTTAGTTAATTAGCCATCTGTGAAGAATCGTTGCCCAGCATTCAGTGAGCCGTGGCGTCCCGCCGTCGCCGACGCCATCACATCGCGTCAATACTTGCTCCATGTTTCCCGCACACAAAGTACTGTTTGACGCATGCGCGGCATAAAGGCAGACCCTCCAAGCACGCATGTGCGGCCCTATTGCGATTCGAGACTCGGCCGAATCGCGACACTAATCCTTTTTCGCGGCACTGTCGTGTAATTGGTTGTCCATTCGTTGCTGACATTGAACGGGTAGTGATCAGCGGCCGACCGGTTGATTACGACTAGTCATATGCATGCGGCTATTGCGATAACGCGTTTTTGAAGCGAATAAAGCGGAATAATCAAAACCCGCACCCTCGCGATCAGCTGTAGGGATCGCTATGGGTGTCGGTCGTGAGCGTTGTGCGGTCAAGTTTTCGTCTTGTGCAGTGTAAAGCAGTGTGAGTGAAGCCATGGATGTGGCGAAGGACAAAGTTAGGCAACTGGAGGAATTCGATGAGGATGCCTCTGTTTCACGACGGCGCATGCTAGACGGTGAGTTGGGCAAAACGTTTCACACGTTCCTCGTGAATAAAACATATTCCGTTTTGTTTAATTCAACATTTGCGACGATAGCGAAGGATTAGCGCCTCAAGGTGCAAAGATCGACAGCGATGACGTGAGGTTTCGTATTGTAAATCTTTTATTGATTTTCTGCTGATGCCATACGTATTCTTCTTCATTCAAGTTATTGTTAGGAGTCTTACGTCGTTTTTATAAGCATAACAATGTAATCATTATTGATAAATAAATATATATTTAAGTGACCTATCTCTTTACTCTTTGTGAGCCCTTCTATGAATGATTTAGTGTCATGAACTTCTAGATTATGGACATTAACTTACTCCTCTATGGAATAGTTAATAATTTATGGGAATAGGTAATTAAGTACCAATCTGCTCTCCTATGCCACATATAATCTTTTCGCACATACTGTCCTGAACATAAAACCGTTTCCGTTAATAACTGAAACCACCTCACAATAGTCAGTTATATTTTCACTCCAAAAACAGTATGAATTCTGTGTAACAAGCATACCTTTGTAAATGTTTACGCATATTTAATCAGGTAAACACATGATGATACGACACGACCAGAGAAGACAAAATACAGTAGGCAAAATATCGTCTTGACAATGAGTCATCAATGGAGAGGGAAAGTAAAACCTGAGTGAATCGTGTATTTAAGGCTAGCTGGTACCCTATTTTGGCAACGTGTCTTTCATATTGTTACCCTTCGTGCCACCGCGTGCATTCACCCCGGCTCCCCTTCACTACTTTTATAAGGATTTTAAAATCAATAACTCATTTTCTAAACTAAAGCAATTTCACATACCCAGAATTATTAAAATTACTGTTTGAGACCCGACATAGGAGCTTTATTGACCTATTGATCTACAGCTAAATGGTACACGTGGCAGGAATATCCATAATTTAATGTCATAACTAACGCATTTGTATTTCGGTAACTTTCGAGATATTATTACAACCTAAAGTTTTATTGTCACCTAAAATAATGTCAATTTTTTTTTTTATAATAGCAAGTGACAGCCACACGCCTGCCCATAACAGCTGCAGTGTTACTCAGAGCTTTAAATCATAAAGATCTGGGGGCACCGCCACTGCGCCCGTCACCCAGAGACATAAGTTGACAAATCTCACGTGCCTGTAATTTCACCAGCACCTTTACCCTTCACAACCGGAACACAGTAATGTGACCCTTACTACTTGGCGGTAGAAATAGGTAAGGTGGGCAGTACTTCCCTGGACGAGATCTTTCTAAAGGAGCTCTACTACTACAAAACCACGCTAATTATACTTAAAAATATTATGCTTAATAGATATTTTAAAAAAAAGAGGGGGTTGCATAATACATCGCGATTCCTGCTCCCAAATATCTTAATAACTCAGTTTTGCTCAAAAAAGTGGATTACCTTAGTTATGATAAGGCGAGCAGTATACGTATCTTTGCTGCAAATCAATCATACATATTTTACATCAATATCTTTTTGGCGGTTTTATAAAAATTTATTAGTAACTTTTTTTATACAAACATAAAGGTTTATGTGGCTAAAGTTTTAAAATATATATTATCAAAGCATGTTCATTGCAAAAAGTGTAATTCAACATGCCAACACTCAGTTTTAGTAAAATATTGAGTTTCACACGCTTGTGCGTTACTCACGCAGATGTAAGCACAATTTGCAAGACGCGGAACATCTATAGAGTAATTGTACTCAATAGATTGTTAATGCCTCTTTACCTTTGACCGTTATTACACCTGTTACCTGCAATCGCTAATAACTCACCTATAATCACATTTACCCATGTCCCTGTAACCTGCATCTTACGTCGCGGGAGTTATTTACTGCTTACCAATTAAATACAAT